TTAGAATAATTATTTTGATGTTTATGATTTGATTGTTCACTTTTTTTTTTTCAAGACCTTTTACCCTTTTAAATTTCACCCCTATCTCTACAATTTCTAACTTCACCATTGTCGTCCATATTCAACAATTATCGATAAACTACCGACCCAGCAGCATAAAGATGTAAAGTGGCTTCCTGGTCTAAAAACACAGCATAATACAACTTAAAACTGATTTGAGTTATGAGTAGAGACCAAAAAGAGGTGTTGGAAAACAAGAAAGAAAGAAAGAAAGGTGCTTTTTTGTTTGGTGGAGTTTGCATAGTGGAGGGGTCAGAGTACATAAACAAGGATAAAGCACAATACTTTTGCCGAGTCCAAATAAAAAAGGTTAAGAGGGACTGAAACACGGAAATAAAAATGCATTAGACGACAGAGCTTTTAAATACACCATAATTTTCTTGAATTTTTATCACAAATAATTATTTATTTATAGCAAATATATAATTTTGGTCTTTTATGTTTTGAATCAATCAGTTTCATCCTCTATGTTTTGCCTAACACATTAATTTCATTTTTGTTGTCAAGTTACGTTAGAAATTTCGTTACTGTGTTGATATGGCAACCGTGTGGCATATTCTTATTTGTTATCATGTTCCACATGGTTGCCACATCAGCATACTAACATAATTTCTAATGAAATTAGATGGCAAAGATGAAATTGATGTGCAAGGCAAAACATGAAGGATAAATTAATTGATTGGTCCAAATCATAAAGGACTAAAATTATGTATTTGCAATACATAGAACCATTTGTGATAAAAAAAATAAAAAAAATTTCCCTAAGAAACAATCATTTGTTTGATACACTTATAATTTTATCTAATGAACTTCATAGAGACCACCATTTAACATATTTTGAAGATCACACGATATGACAGTTGATGAATGGATTCCTTCTTAAAATTATTATAAAAAAAAATCAAACCATTAACCACCACATCATGAGACGGTTGACAAAATGTGGTAACAAAAGATAGTATTTCTAACAATTTCCATGTCTAAAATAATACAAAAATATATAATATTTTATAGTAACCAACGTTAGTTGCACAAGATAAAGTGAGTAAATGACATCAGTGGCTCATAAACCCATTAGACACTTATAGGCCTTTACCTAATACTCATTAACTTGTCATATGCTGATGCGGAGTACTATCGGGTTCGTTAATGAGTAATTAGGTCAACAATAATTTGGTATGAAGTCTCTATTTATTGAAGTTTAACCCAACCTCTTTCTTGCAGGTAAAGAATAATATCACTAAATCATAATGCTCAACAATATCGAGTGATTTAATAAGAATAAAACAAACAAGTCGAGTTAGAATTTGACTAATACTCAACACGTAATTTAGTTGAGTTAGAGTTAACATAACGTTACACGACGCTTATTATTTTTTTGGCACATACGGGCTCGTTTGGAAATAATTTTTTAGAAAACACTTTAACTCACTTGAAGTGCTTCTTGAAAGAAATACTTAATAGGTGCTTTCCCAGAAAGAACTTAAGTGCTTTTTTGAACACATAAGGAATTTTAAATTTTTCTGCGTAAGATATTCAGAAATACTTTTAAAGATCCAAAAGAATTTTTCATTAATTTATAAACACTTCCAAACATGATGTACCTAAACATATAGAACACGCTACCTCTCATTCCCCACAATTTCCAACTTTTTTGCGTGGGCATAAAAAATATTCCCTTTGGTGGCCGGTGGGTAAACTTTCCACTCTTAATTTGTACCAAATATAGTCGTAGTAGCAGTACGGCACCAAAGATTGAAAGCGACTGACGAATATAGTCTAATGTGGTCGAGAGGTGAAGGAGCAAATGACACAGAGATTGGTTTCTTAAAGTAATTAAGAAAAAGAAAACCTAATAAAAAACTGATTAGTGTGCAAATATGGATAAAACCAAATGCTGCAATACGTAAGCAAGAACTGCACGTGACTCATGAGGGAGAGAAGACTCAGAAGTGGGAGTGGAGTGATTTAACAGATATAAATATAAGGGTTTTGAGGGAATAATGCGAAATGCGAAGGTGCTTTTTTGCCTCCCTTTGAGGGTTAATTTGTTCCCATGCAGAATTGAAAGAATAATTCTAAGGGATAGCTAAATTAATCATGTAGGACTGATTAAGTTATACATACAAGTTAATCATGATTTTTATTCCACAAGAATGTGCCAGCTATATTTATTTTCACATTGAAACTTGGATTTGAGAATAAATTGGGTCATGGTATAGTTCAGTTGCCTTTTTCTTTTTGTTCATGGTATGTCTACCTTCACCGAACACATATGGTTTATTTTTTTATTTTTTATTTTTTTCTATTAGTAAACGTTAGCTTTACCTTAAAATCATCTAAATAATTAATAATTCCAACACCAAATGTTTTGGATTACTCATAAAACAGGTTGTTACCAAATTTTGTGCAATTGGAGGCCAATATAATTGATAAATTATTCATAATCCTTCATTAAAGTTATGAGTTTTTTAGTAAACTTAGTGCAAATGCGGCATACATGTTTGCCCGTATATAAGTCTCAAGATTACTACGTTATAAATTTAATAAATTAACATACAATCAATGAGACATAAGGTACAAATTGATACAATTTCAAAACCGTAAAGTGCAATATGAAAAAAGTTAAAACTGTGACTCATTTTGAAAATCATCCCAACCCAAAGGGTAATTAACCCATCAAAATTAATATAATCATTATTGCAAAAATTGGGTTTCATTAGCATAACTTGTAGAACCTGGATTGTGCTTAGATCCACTGTGCGCGATGGGGGATCTAGGAGAAAATATTTGGGGGGATACTGGGGCTGGGCGGTTGGAGTGATAATTAATTGTGCGTGCAGGGCACCAAAGTTTTTAGATGGAAATAGCACGCAAATTTTTACTGAAGCATTTCGTCGTATAATTAGTGAATATATATGTGGTCATTTGTGAAACAATCTTGTGTGCATGTGACACATCCCGACCTGGAATGCCCATTTGGATTCCGAATCGAGTTGTGTTGGCCGACACCTAGAAGGTGACAAAGCCATAAAGTGTAATGTAGTAGAAAATGTGAATAAATTTAAACCTAAAAGTGCCTAAATATAAAAGTACGCTATAAGCGGGAATGAACTTGTTCAACAATGATAAAGAACTCGTCTGTGAAGCCAAACAACATTTCTCTCTCCCAAGTCAACTTTATCCATTTTTATTTTCCCCAGAAAATTGCTTTCCATCAATTCCCGGAAGAACACGCAATCGCTAGAGGTGAAATCCAGGCAATACCCAATTGGCCTTAAGCTTCAACAGTTGAGTCCTTAATTATTGACCAAAACCTTGCAGATAGGAAACATAAACTATCTGTGAATATCCATATGAGGAGGACTAGCAATGTTTAGCAAAAGAACCCGTAGATTCTCAAGTCTCATGCGTGGCTTTATTAAATGTGTAGTTAGTTGGACAAATTTTTTTCAGCTTTGATAAAAAATATGCAGCCATTTTTTTGGAGGAGAAATTTCGCATGCATGCTGGTGGATATACTGAGTCAAGGTTAGGTTCAAAGCAAGACAATTTGCTTTTTTATTTTTCCTTAAATACGACTTTCATTTCAACCAAAATTTGGAGTTCAAATATAGAAGTGATTTTGCAACCAACAAATGTAGAAGTGATAAAAAATTCTACGCGGTAAGTGAACCATTGTTGACTTAAGAATATAAATAAGGATAATGCTTATATTCTCTCACCTTTCGTTTTATATTAGGTTTTGTAAGAATTTGAGAAGGCATCTGATGTAAATTAGCAAGTCATGTATTGCACAAATCGCTTTACAAAACAAAAATACTTGTTAATGCTTCAGCCCGAAGAAAAAATCCCCAGTAAGCAGCTGGGTATGAAATAACAACTAGCTAGCTAGTTTCTCCATAATTATATACGTAAGACCCAAGTAAGAATAGTTGAAAAGATAGAAGAATAAAAGTACATCGACATTGTCAAAGGGATGCGATGAAAGGGGAAACGCAAAAAAAGGAAGAAAAAACAACTTTTTTTATTTTTATTTTTTGGCATAAGTGTATATTTAAAGTGCCAATAACCACACTGCTATTGAAAACTAGCAAATTAAGCGGAGGAGAAACCTCTAGAACATGGTATCCAAATGCACCCAATATTGTCATGAGGTTTAGCCGGAGAAGAATATGCATGGGCTACATAATAAATATGTTTCTTATAATTGCCATTGTTATCAAACCGATAATTTAGGTCATGAGTACTCCAATAAACGAGTAATTATAAATATGGATTGTAAACCAAACTTAATGTAGTCTGAAATGAAAGTAGAAGCCACACGGTTGAGCGAGAGGGTTCGACCAAATCCTAAAACCTTATTAGTCTTCATTTGATTTCCTGTTTAGTTATTTGGGCGATGAGTTGACAATTTTGCATTATGTGGATTTTCATTCTATAAGACTGCATAATATATTCCGTACAGGTAAGGGAATGATATAAGAAGACCTTATTTATATTTTATATAATATATGTCTTGTTTAGTGACACAATTGATAGATCTAGATCTGTATATATATTATTGTTCAATAGTTGTTAGCTAATAAGACAGATTTCCATTTGGTTTGATATATTGGAAAATTGGAAATTTTCCATTCTTTGACATTACGTTCAAATAGGAAAAAGGCCCTTTCGTATTACTGAAATTATTAATTACATGAACACAAAAATTGATTTATGTGTGAAAGCAATCTTCATAATTTTATTCTTTCTTTTTGCTTGGTAAGCAAGGCATGTTGGCATGGTACAAGAAATCGCGTCATATTTTGTAGATTACAGTGTGAACTCCATTTTTAATAAAAGCCAAACTACTAATACAGATTGACTAAACCTGTATTAGACATCTAATATATCATAAGTCTAAACTTTTGGTCCTCCTAGGTTTCAAACTATTATCTTCATTTGGATATTAGGTATCTTTCTAGGGCAGTTTTACCAACAACCCTCTTTTGAACCAAAAGTTGCTTTCGGAAATTTCCCCAAGTAAAGGGCACATACTTTCTAGGGTTGGTTTTTGCATCCATGAGCTCAAGAGGGCAGTCAATGAGGGCAGAATTACGGGGGCTCATGAAATATGCTGCTGATAGCCTATTCTTCTCCTTGTTAACCACTGCTCTATGCACTACACTCCTCAGCTTCCCATTAGTCCAAGCCTGCAAGAAAATTACACATACAGTTACAACTTTGTACAAAAACTGAACTTTAAAAAACGGGAAGTTTAACAAAAAAAACTCTCGGTACTGTTTATTTTAACGAAAAATCATATTTTTACACTAAAAATTCAATCATGGTACTATTCACTTTACCCTTTATTTTGTCCTTATCGTTAAAACTCAAAATTTTCAAATTTTTTTCATAAGTTTTCCTTTAAAAAAAAAAGGTGTAATCCAGATTACAGCCTCACAACATTAGCGTTTTTCTAGTAAGGGAACATTACTGCTAAATGTATATGTGCATACAATTGCTTGAGAGAGAGAGAGAGAGAGAGAGAGAGAGAGAGAGAGAGAGGTACTTCAAGGGTATCACCGATGTTGATGATGAAAGAATTTTGAACAGGACGGATTCCAATCCATTTGTCGTCACTTGTCAGAACTTGCAGGCCGCCAACATCATCTTGTAACAATATGGTTAATGTATGTGGGTCTGAATGGCTCCCAAGCCCAAGACATTTTTCAGGGAGGGGACAAGGAGGATATCTGTTGACCCTGATCATGGTAGCCTCTTTTTCCTCAAAGTTCTTTGTGAAAAAGTTGTCTGGAAGGCCCAGTCCATGAGCTAACATCTCCAAAATTGTCATTCCCAAATTGTCCAGTGCATTCAAGTAACCAATCATTGCATTGCTGATACATATTCCAAACATTGATTTGAGTTAAACTATACGAAGAAAAGTTAGACTTGACAATTTCTTATACGATCCAAAAATAATACGAAAATAATAGGCTTTAGATCAACACGATTATTAATCGAGTCGTTATCGGATGACTCATTAAGAACCCGTTAATAATAAGTCCTTAACGGATACACATGCAGGTAACCCATTTCGATTCATTAAGAAAAAAAATTATTTTTATAATTTCAAAGTTTAACTACTAAAAATACTTATTATAAAACTAAATAGCCATAGTGTATATATTGTATATTAAATATGTATTATGGTGTTATTATTCTATATAAGTTAAGAAAATTAAGTTTTATTTATTTATTTTTATTATGAGAGTTTTTTATTGTCATTACTATGATAAATTTTACTTGACCTCTAGTCCAAAATTAAAATCAACTAGTATAGTATTAGTATAAGCAAGAAGGCAGACCTACAAGTGTGAAAAATGTGAAACAATATATAAACACTTGTGATTGCATCATTCCTCCATGAGTAGACATCGGTTACACTTACATCGTCGTTTAGACTCCACAACCTTGAAACATAGCTCCCTTGATTTTGCAAATCCTTTGAACATTTGATATTTTGTAATATATAATATTTGAATGACAAATGTGTTTTTATGTTTTGAATGTGACGATGTGGTATGTATATACTAATTTAGTATTATGCTTTTCATTTGATTATTTATTGTTTTAAAATATATTTTCTTTAACAGGTAACGCATCGAGTCATATTACCCCTTAATATTAATGTGTAGATTACGGGTATGGTCATATTACACGTTTAATTTAACGGGTATTACACAACACGGCCTGTTAAAATATTAGGTATGACACGAACATGGAAAAAACGATATGAATAACATGTCTAAGAAAAATGCTAGCTAGGCCAGTCGTGTGTTGGTGCATGATTGATTTCAGGTCATTGATGCATGTGGGTTTTTTTTTTTTTTTTTTTAGTACATCGATATTTTTACACTAAAGGAGGGGGAGTTTGGCAGTTCGGCTAAGCCACATAATGGGCAACCTAATTTGGTATTGAATTCGCCATTCACGAGATTCAAACCTAAGGCCTCTCACTTCCAAGTGAAGAAGAATACCACCACACTATAGTATTGAATGACGAGATTTTATTGAATATACATACATTTATCGTCAGAAATCACTCACGTGCGTTTGAATGACATTTTAGCAAGTGTGGTGTTATCTACACATCTCTTTTTACCTTTCACACACCTCTTGATTGTCGATCATTGGGTTGAATGAATTAAAGATCAAAGGACATGAATTAATAAAAAGTGTGCGAAGGATAACAAAAGTGTGTGGATGACACCACCCTTTAAGCAATCATCTTAAACTGTTACTAACGAATAAAATTATAGTTCCAATAACCATTTGGTATAGCCATATTTAACTTTCACTTTATTGGAGAGGAGATTTTAACTTGAATTACATGGACAACAAGGACAACAGTTTGTAGAAAACCAAAAAACTATTTTCGCCATACATATTGAGAGAGGTGGTAAGTTTTTTTTGTATTAATTACCTCTAATTGATCAACTGTTAAAACCATTAAATATCATACATGACCTAAGAATTCAAACTATATGATATATATGTATGAAAATCTTACCTAAATTTGTGATTTGTTGGCCACCAAAAACCTTTGTTGCAATTTTCTTATAGAATTCACATACATTTACAGTTAGAAATCACTCACATGCACTTAAGCAATCATTTTAGCAATCATCTTAAACAACTACTAAAGAATAAAGAAAATTTTCATAACCATTTTGGTATAGGAGCACTTAGCCTTTACTTTGTTGGAGGAGATTTAAAGTAACATATGGGCAACAGTTTGTTGATTAAAGAACAGAACTATTTTACCACATGTATTGAAAGAGGTGGCCAGCAAATATGGAACAAATAGACAATATCTCTAATTAATGTACTGCTAATTAAACCATACATGATCTAAAAATTCAAGTATGTATGGTATGAAAATCTTACCTAAATTGCTGGTGTTGATCACCAAAAACTTTAGTTGCAAATGCAACTACCTGTTGAGGGGACTGAAGTAACTGTAAGATCTCTGCCCAAGGTAAATTTTTTTCATAATCAGGGTTTGTGGCACAGTAACCCAGTGGTAAAGTAGCTGATCTGACACCCTTCACTTTCTTCTCCATTGGAAGGTCAAACAGCCCATTTAAACTCCCTATGAAATTCTCTATGATCTCCAAAGCAACCCCATGATCCACTAACTTGAAGAACCCCCACTTCTCACAAGCACTCACCATCACTCGGCACACCTTCTCGTAGTCTGGGTTTTTCCTCCCATCCAAAATACCTTGGAGACTTATGACAGGGATGTCATCTGTATCTGCAAAGTCTTCGTGGTTTATGGCTGGCCATTCTTCTTTCGACCAAATAAAATTCTTCACAATTAGTTTTTGTCCCATGGAGAGTGACTCAACATATTGTTCTTCACTCTGCAAAGCCATGCCAAAATCTCAGAGAAATTAGAGTTTCGCAAAAGCGTGCTATTTTTTTTGCTGTATGCAGCAGATTTTGCCAAAGGGTGATATATGCAGCAGTTTTGGGATTGTTTATCTAAATGCTTCTTTTTGTAGCCATATAGTATGCTTTGTTAAGTGTGATAAATTGTTGTTGATTGTAGCTTCCAAGAAGATTCAATGGGTTGGACAAAAAAATTTCTTGGATTCAAAGTATCATTGTTGCCTAGGTATATATGATGAGGCTGTCTTTTAGTGGGAAAAAAACATGAGATTCCTTCGAGATCATTGGAGATAACTAGGATTCCAACTAAAGAAATGAACTTGTAGAAAAAATGGGATTTGTTAGCCGTCCATTTGGCCATTGGATTTTGATTTTTAAGTTGTGTGTCACTACAAGAAAAATAGATCCGTCGTTTAAGATATTGCCCGATGAATACATTTGCCGGTTATGAACTAATTCACGCAACGGAGAATTGCTTAACCGACGGAAAGGAACTGGTTAGCATGTCGTATTTAAATATTGTTGTAAGATATTTCGACGGACAGAGCCGTTGAAAGATATGAGTTTAAGAGACGACTTTTCCGTCGGGCAACTTAAGAACAACATATTGCAAAAATGGAAATAAATATATACAACCCAAAAAAAATTGTTCATCCAAATATATTACAAAAAGAAAAAAAGAAAAAAGAAATTGTAAACTATGGTAGGGTTTGGTCATTGCTGGGACAACTGCTAGGGATCTCTTGGAATGGCGGCACAAGCTCAGGCAGGACGGTGAATCGTAAAGCCAAAAGCTGATAAGCTTTGGGATATGGTTTTGAAGTATTGATGGACTAATTCCCTTTGGCGTGCCAGCTCCTCCTCTACTTGCTAAGTCTGGAATCGGTCTCAGTCATTGTAGTGGAACTCGATGAAGAACAAGACTTAACTTCCTGAACCCAACCCTCTCCTAGGCCGTAGACTTCCTTGCCCTTCCTTCGGCCAACCCCGTCCATCAGCACCTGGAGAGACACCTTTGGGTCAGGTGCCAGCTTTTCCACAGGCATGTTAGGATGCTACTAGGAGAGATTGGTGAGGTAATCATCCTTCTTCTATACCATTGAAGCTTATAAAAAAAAAACAAAGATTACGAAGTTAGATTAATTACAATTTAAACCATAATTACAGTAATAAAAGTTATAATTGAAAGTTACAAAAAAAATATTTACAAAAATCCCATCTGCGACCTTGTTGCCATAATTGGCGTGGGTCTATACCCAAACCACCACTTTTGAGAACTTCTCCTTAGCTTCCCGCCATTCCTCGACTAGGTATGATAGAGTTCAAGAACTGGAATGGTGCTCGTACAACTTCTTGTCCTGATTTCCTTTATTTGCCGCTGATTTTTTCTGTACATTAAAATATTAGTTTAAATGAAGATGAAAAAAAATAAATATAGGGAACCGGCCACATTTGGTGGTTTTTGGGTGTAATTGCAAGATATTATGCCAAATAGTATCTTGCAATCAATTAGGAAATTAATCAATTAATTTAGGTAATTAATCCTATTTTGAATAAATATTTTGGCGGTTACCTTGTGGGGAGGATTTGATGAGGATGGATCAAATAGGTTTTGAATAAATACCTATTTTGATCACTTTTGACCTTGATTGAGTTGTGATTGTCTGCTGCTAGCGCGTGGGAGTTCCAGTGCGGCTTGAAGGTAATTTTGTCTTTTTAACTCAAGAATCCATGTGTTGCCTTCATATTTTTCTCAATTATTTTTGGCTCCACAAAAAGTTTCAGGTAATAAATATTTATATTTTTTCTTTTTTTCCCAAAGGGGCCGGCCACACTCCTATAAATACCATCTCATTTCTCCAAAAACCTAATTCCAACTCTTTTGCTAAATTCTCTGAATTTCTCTAAACATTTTTCCCTCAAATTCTAACTTTGGCATCAGAGGTTCTTTGGCCCAAGCTGCCCCCCTCCAAATTCATCGTGGGCACGTGAGACTCTTGGCCTTGACCTAAGATGTTAATTGTTTCATAGGTGCAATTTTGTCCAAGAAGAAGAAGGTGGAAATTTGCATCCACAAATTGGTGCTTTCATTGAGAATTGAGTCACATACTCGTAGAAGACTCTCGCATTCAAGGTTTTTCGTTTTCTTATTCATTTGTAGATTTTTTGTACGTTCTTGTTCCTAGAATTTTTTTAGTAAAAATTCTTTGAATAAACGTAAAAGAAGAGTACAATGATGAGAAATTTGAAAACCTCCACCCTCGGCAAGGCCCACGACGCCACAACCATGACCTAAGCCATGCCATTCAAGCCCACACCGCCCAAGGCCAAGGCGAGCCGGCTCGAGCCACTCAAGCCCAACGTAAGGCCAACACGTTGCCTAGCCAAGCTCTAGTCTCGCACCCACATGCACCGCACACCGAGCAACCCATTCTAGTGGCCCAACCCACTCCCGTGGCCTTCCAAGCAACCCAAATCAATCGAAGACCGCTCCAACCTTCTCGGCTTCAAGTTTCCGGATCGACAATTGAACCGGGGGCATTTCATCGCATTTCTTCGTGGATTTGACATTTCCCAACTCAAATCTCGCACCTGTAGTCTACCACACTTCCACCACTCAAGGAGACGCATTCCTTCCGAGCTCTGCCAACCTAAATAGAGAACAACACTTGTCTCGACAGTTATAGAGTTGACGAGCGCCCTCGAACAGCAAACGACCTTGGTGAATCAGCTCTTGTAGTGCACCGTGCAACGTGCCCCAAACAAGGTGTCCTGAAATAGGACAAGGGCAGACGAAGAACCTTTCCAGCAGCATCTCGACAAGCAACCACTTGATCAACCCCAAACCAAGCATTTGGGCAGTGTACACTCTCGATTGGGCCCCTGAGATATCGTATACTCTCATCTTAGTGCGCAGAGGAGCATGCACTCTCAACTAGGCCCACACACAAGCATACATTCATGATTGGGGCCACACTTCGATAGTCAACATGAGTAACCTTCCAGGCGAAGTGTTCATTTGCGGCTAGGCCCGTAAGGAGTATCCTCCACCTTACATTAGAGTAAGCAGCATGAAGGATGGAAAGAAGCAGTCACTCAGTTCGGCTCAAGTTCAACCAGCAACCTTTGAAGAATTCCCTCGCTTGCTAACAATGAACCACATGCACCGTCGTTGCTGCATAGATGAGCCGAACACGTAGAAGAGCAGCCTAGACTAGCAGGTTAACACTGGAGGCAGTCAAGAGCTCCACTAGCCCTAACATAGGCATATTTAGGAAGAGGTAAAGAGGTTTTTAAATGAGCGGTTGCGTGATTTCCAACGCAATAAAGTAACTAACGAAGCATTTCGACGGGACATTACCAATATGAGCAAGTTACCCTTCATGAACCAGATCGAGCAGGCAAAGCCTCTACGCAAGTTTAGCATGCCACATTTCACATCTTTTAAAGGAGATGGAGATTCAGAAAGGCACTAGAAGCATTACAGAAGCACGATGGTCCTTTAGCGAAACAACGATGGTCTTATGTGCAAGATATTTGCCATCATTTTACAAAGCGAGGCGTAAGATTGGTTCCACACCCTACCACCACAATCCATCCAGAGTTTTGATGATCTTTCCTTGGTTTTCACCAAAGAATACTCATCATACCACTCGATAAAAAAAAAGTCCAACCACTTGTTCAACGTGAAAAAGAACGAGTTGCTCCGCGACTACGTGAAGAGGTTCAAAGCAGAGAAAGCGAAGATAGTCGGATACGATAACTCAATAGCAAGTGCAGCATTCCAAAAATGACTCTCAGTAGAGCACCCACTATTTGGAGAATTGATCATGAAAGAAGATTTAACCCTGGCAGACTTTTTCGTTCTGGCAAAGAAGCATGCACTTTAGGACGAGGCTCGATGAGCAGACAAGGCACCCGAGCAGCCTCGAAAAAAGTCAGCAATGGCTCAAAAGAAGGAGGATAAGAAGCAGTACAACAAAAACAGGCAGGAAGCCAAGCGTAAGGACCGACTTATGACCAAAGAAGGCCCGATGACCAAGAACTACTCCAAGTTCTCAATCCTGATCCACCAAATCTTTTGCTACATCAAGAATGAGCCATGGTTCAAGTTGCTGAAGCAATTAAATGGAGATACTTCCAAGTTGGATCACACCAAGTACTGTGCATTCCACCAGGGTCCCGGTCACATAAAGAACGATTGCTACACTTGGAAGAACTACCTAAAGAAGCTCATGATAGAAGGCAAAGTCGATAGATACTTGGACAAGCCAATTGCATAGCCTAGAAGGAACGCAGATGTCGACAAAGAGCCATCAACCAAGACGATTCGGATCAATAGCATTTTCGCCAAATCGGAACACTTGGGGGCCTCCAACAACTCCAAAAAGAGGAAAATCCAGCAGGCTCTACTAATCATACGGGTCCAAACAGTCGATACCCAACCTGGACCCATTGTTGGCTTCATCGAGCAGGATGCCAAGAGCGTCAACTTCTTACACGACGATGCACTAGTAGTATTTGTCCAACTTGCCTATGCTATAGTTAACATAATGATGGTTGACAACGGAAGTGCGATCAACCTACTTCAACTCTCAGTAGTTCAAAAGATAGGCCTGGAAAACACAATTATACGCCTAGTGGAGGTACTCACCTGATTCAAAGGGCACACCTCGACTGCCATCGGGCACATCACACTTGATGTGAAAACACCGCCAATTGTCTCAAAGCAAACATTCACGATCGTAAGAGACCCATCTCCCTACAATGAGATTCTTGGAAGACCTTGGCTGATAAAGCTGGACATCGTCACTTCCGTCAAGTATCAAAAAATTCGATTCCACATCCCTGGAGAATGAGTTAGAGAAATCAAGTTTGACCAGGCCCCATCTCGACGATGCATTATGCACGTATTGAAGGAATCAAAGAAGAAAACCTTTACCCCCATAGAGGCTACCAAGGTCCGAATGGACGATAAAACTAC